GTTTCTCTCTCCCCTTGACTTCCCCTGGTCTCTCCCTCCCTTTGACTCCCCCCTCCCTGCTGACTCCACCTTGAGGCACATGTTGTCGGACAGTGTGGGGAACAGATGGTGCTCCACATGGCAGTTGATGAGCGAGTGTCCGAATGACCAGTCCAGGAGCGGATTCCGAGGAAGGTTCAACACCCCATAGGCCATCTGGTAGATCCTCTTCGGCTTCTTATCCAGGGAGAACATTGCCAAGCCGATATGCTGTCAGAATAATTCCCAAAACCAGGAGTTAATCCATGGCCTGATACACATTGCAGGTTGGGGTGGCAGGGTTAGGGTCAGATGAGGGTTTTTTTAATAATGAGGTCCGGAGCTGAGTGGCCCTGGTGGAACCCAAACTGGGCATCACTGAGCAGGTTATTTCTGAGCAGGTGCTGCTTGATAGCGCTGTTAGTGACACCCTCCATCACCTTACTGATGATTGAGAGGAGGCTGATGGGGCAGTAATTGGCCGGGCTGGATTTGTCCTGCGTTTTATGTTCAGGACATACTTGGGCAATTTTCCACATTGTCGGGTAGATACCAGTGTTGTAACTGTACTGGAACAGCTTGGCTAGGGGAGCGGCAAGTCCTGGAGCACACGTTTTCAGTACTATTGCCGGAATGTTGTCAGGGCCCGTAGCCTTTGCAGTATCCAGCATCTCCAGCCGTTTCTTGATATCACGTGGAGTGAATCGAATTGGCTGAAGACTGGTATCTGTAATGCTGGAGACCACTGGAGGAGGCCGAGATGGATCATTCACTCGGCACTTCTGACTGAAGATTGCTGCGAATACTTCAGCCTTATCTTTTGCACTGATGTGCTGGGCTGTTCCATCATTGAGGATGGGGATGTTTGTGGAGCCTCCTCGTCCACTGGGTTGTTTAATTGTCCACCACCATTCATGACTGGATGTGGCAGGACTTAACGATTTATATCACACACCAGAATCTAGAAACCATAGGTCCGAATGTTGTGTAAACTTTTTGAATCCTGTTAGGACGTTTGATATGTCTCAATTTAAACTTGGCCATTTTGTGTACATTGTAACTACATGTCTTGACCTTCCCTTGGTTGCTATCAATCCGACACACACCCCCATCACTTCTCTTTCTCTAAGTGAGTTAATTGGAAGGGCATTTGCCTGTTTTCCAGCAAGCTGGCCTTCACACTCTCCCACATGTTTGGGAACACACAAGCAAAGTCGGGGCAATGTTCATTCAAAGCTGACACACATGCAGCATTGATGTTTGGACGTCACTGCCATGCTCAGAGCTTGGGGTCCCACGCAGAAGAGAAAGAAACTGGGGGAGCATTCATTGAGGATTTCCTCATCCAATTTCTACACGCATCTAACCGAGACTGGAGGGTTTGAGTTATGAGGAGAGCCTGGATAGGCTGGGACTTTTCTTCCTGGAGCATCAGAGTTTGAGGGGTGACCTTATAGAGGTCTTTAAAATCATGAAGGACACAGATAAGGTGAATAGCAAAGATCTTTTCCCCAGGGTAGGGGAGTCCAAAACTAGAGGGCAAAGGTTTAAGGTGAGAAGGGAAAGATTTAAAAGGGACCTGAGGGCAATATTTTCACAGAGGGTGGTGCATACGGGAGGCAACAGCCTAGTGATATTGTCACTGGACTGTTAATCCAGAGACGTAGGTAATGTCCTGGAGACCTGGGTTCGAATCCTGCCACAGCAGATGGAGGAATTTGAATTCAATACATATCTGGAATTTAGAGTCTAATGATGACCATGAATCCAGTGTTCAGGGGATTAAAAAACCTATCCAGTTCACTAATGTCCTTTAGGGAAGGACTGCAGACCCACAGCAATGTGGTTGACTTTTAACTGCTGTCTGGGGCAATTACGGATGGGCAATAAATGTTGGCCCACTCAGTGAGACCCTCATCCCATGAATGAAAAAGAATGGAATGTGCTGCCAAAGGAAGTGGTAGCAGTGAGTACAATTACAACATTTAAAAGATCTTTGGACAGGATAGGAAAGGTTTAGAGGGATATGGGCCAAATGCAGGCAAATGGACTGGTTCAGTTTCGGTAACCTGGCCGGCATGGATGAGTTGGGCCGAAGAGCCTGTGTCTGTGCGTATGACTCCATGATTTTCTCCCAGTTTATTACTGTCAGCCATGTACTCTCGCTGTTAACGATTTAACTTTTCCAGGATGATAGACCACATGCAGTCCAATGTTTCCCACCACTGTTCACTGTGTCGTCTTAATGGTAAAGATCTGATCAGTCACTTGCCAGGGATTGGTTAAATCCGTGGGTCCATTTATTAGAAACATTATAAACAGTCGGTACAGCTGAGCAGTCCCCTCCCCTCCTCCATGCCACCCCCACAGGAACTCAGAAGCGATTTCTTTACAAAGGTCTTATTGTGAAATGGATCTCAGTGTTAAACAGGATTATTCTGTTGTCATGGATGCCTCACTGTATCGTCTAGGAGTGTCTGTGGGATCCATCATTGCACTGACCAGGAACAGCAATATCCCGAGGGAAAGGGGGAACTGCCTGTGGGTAACGGAATGGTTAAGTTGTTGTGAGAAACTGGGGTGGGGGGTGTTTGTGTGTGTGTGAAGTGGGGGAGAGCAGGAGAGGCTTCAACTGCGGAACAGGCTGAGAGTAACAGTGATTACAGAAATCTCTCCAGAGTGAATAAGTTTCTGCCAGTTAGAAAATTAGAGATTGTAGGAGGCAGGTGTTGGGGAGAAGAGATGAGGAGCATAACATTATCAGAATGGGAAAGGTTGTTAAATGTGAGGGAATGGAGTGAGTTAAGAATGAGATTGGAGTGGGTTCAGAGGGAGACAGATTTACTTAAGGCCGGAGGCCTGTGACCAGCTGTGTTCCACAGGGATCGGTGCTGGGTCCACATTTATTTGCCATTTATATAAAAGATTTGGATGAGAATTTAGGAGCATGGTTAGTAAGTTTGCGGATGACACCAAAATCGGTGGTATGGTGGACAGTGAAGAAGGTTACCTAAGATTACAAAGGAATCTTGATCAATTGGGCCAATGGGCTGAGGAGTGGCAGATGGAGTTTAATTTAAATAAATACGAGGTATTGCATTTTGTTAGACACATCAGGGCAGGACTTATACAGTTAATGGTACGGCCCTTGACAGTGTTGTAGAACAGAGAGACCTAGGGGTTCAGATACATAGGTAGACCCAGGCACATATAGATAGGGTGGTTAAAAAGGCGTTTAGCACACTTTCCTTCATTACTGAGACCTTTGAGTGTGGGAGTTGGGACATCATGTTGCGATTATACAGCACACTATTAAGGCCACTTCTGGAGTACTGTGTACAGTTCTGGTTATCCTATTGTTGGAAGGATATTATTAAACTGTAGAGGGTTCAGGAAAGATTTACCAAAACGTTACCGAGATTGGAGTATTTGAGAGTATAGGGAGAGGCTGGATAGACTGGGACTTTTTTCATTGGAGTGTAGGAGGTTGAGGGGTGACCTTATAGAAGTTTGTAAAATCATGAGGGGCACGGATAGCAAAGGTGGATAGCAAAGGTCTTTTCTGTAGGGTGGAGGAGTTCAAAACTAAGGGGCATAGGTTTAAGGTGAGAGGGGAAAGATTTAAAAGGGACCTGAGGGGCAACTTTTTTACACAGAGGGTGGTTAGTGTGTGGAATGAACTGCCAGAGGAAGTGGTAGATGCAGGTACAGTTACAACATTTAAAAGACATTTGGACGGGTACATGAATAGGAAAGGTTTAGAGGGATATGAGCCAAACGCAGGCAAGTGGGTCTAGTTTAGTTTGGGCAACTTCGTCGGCACGGACGAGTTGGACCGAAGGGTCTGTTTCCCTTCTGTATGACTGTATGAATGGAGTGAGTTAAGAGAGAGATGAAGTGGTTCAGAGAGGGGATTCAGGAAGGTGGTGGAGGGGATTCGGGGAGGGGGTGGAGGGGATTCAGGGACGGGGTGGAGGGGGTTTGGGGAGGGGGATGGGAGGGGGTTCAGAGACTAAGATGGAGAGGGTTCAGACATAAGGATGGAGGGGTTTAATGGAGTGGGTTGGAAGGGGGTGGAGGGGGTGTTTGAGCATTTGAACTGCACAGTTGGCCTGGGAACAGTTTGGCGAGAGCGCAGTGGTAAATCTCAGAAGGACATTACTCAGCCCCATGTGTGCAGTCCCTACATCGGGGAATAAACAGGCTGGAGGAGATGTAGTAATGTGGAGAGGGAGAGAGAGAGTCTGCACTTGCCAACTCAGTCACACCCACAGCTCCCTGCTGCAGTGCTTACCTGGAATATATTGACGTGTATATACGGAATGGAGTAAAGGCCTTTGTACAACAGCATGCAGAGAAATGCAGAGAGCAGTGAGCGGAAACCAGATACATTCATCAGGAACCAGCAGTGTAGCCACACACCCAGCGAGATGGTGGAGAGGGTCCTCAGGACAATGAGAGCTGGTAGATCCTGGATCAACCCTAGCGAAAAAGATCCATGACATGGGCTTCAGTTTGTACCAGCCTCCTCACTTCTGTACGCTGCACAGACCGATCCCACAGGAGGAACAGTGAGCAAACTTGTTTCACTTTAATGCCTCACAAGTCACTTCCAGTGAAATGCTTTAGAAAATACATTATTCTGTCAACAAATGTGGTGGTCACAGTGAAAAAGTCTCACAAATGGGAAAAGGTCGATGATCAGGAGAGCGTCCACACCCTCTGATCAACTTAATCCTGATTTCAAACCCAAAGCAGGCAAGATGTTACACCATGACACTCCTGGGGGAGGTAATGCCCCCTGGTATAGAATATTAATCTAGTAAACCCCACCAATGATCCAGGGACCATGGTAGATGGTGGAATTTAGATTTAGTTAAAAACCTGGCGCCTAATGATGACCATGAAACCAATGTCAACTGTCAGGAAAAACCCATCTGTGTCACCAAAGTCCTTCAGAGTTCCTGACCTAGAAGCCTTACCTGGGCTGATCTCTGTGACACGAGATCCACAGGTTGACTTGTTAATGACCTTTGGGCAACTGGGGATGGGCAATAAATGCTGGAGCCAGCAACGCTCTCATCCATTGGATTAAAAGAAAATTTTAAGAGAACAATCTTTTCATGGTCATGTCTAATCAAAGGATCCTTCATTAGCAGAGCAGAGACTATTCAGACATAACCCACTCACTCTATTTAACAGCATGAGCTGTTGCATTCCAGCCAGAGGTCAAATGCCCTGAAGCCTCTTTGAGAAGTTTTAGAAGATATTTGACCATCAGGTCAGTGAGTGGGGATGAACAGTGAGTTGGGGAGTAGTTGGGTCAGGTTGAGGGGTAATTGAGACATGGAGACAGAGGTAACAGTGTGGAGCTGGAGGAGCACAGCAGGCCAGGCAGCATCAGAGGAGCAGGAAAGTCGACGTTTTGGGTTGGGACCCTTCTTCAGAAATGGGAGTCGGGCATGGTCAGGTCAGGAGGTAGACTGGCTGTTGGGGGAGGTAGTCAGCTCAGGTCACTGAGGAGGCAATGGTTAGTTAGGAAGGTGTAGACTGGTTGGGAAGGGTAGTTAGTTTTGGGGGGGTGTATTTGGGTCAGGTGGATAGGTGGCCGGCGGAAGGAGAGAGAACGGGGTCAGTCATGCTAATACCTAGGAGCTAGAGCTGTTTTCTCTCTGTCTAAAATGTCCAGATTAACTATCTCCAGCAAAGGCAGTCAGCACCCTCCAAAGGCACTACCACTACCTGAGAGTTGGGGGACTTTCTCGGAAGGTTCCGGAAGCAGATGTATCAGCTAACGGAAGTTTAAATGTCCTGGGTAGTCAGGGTGATGGGGCTTGAAGCAGGTGCTGGATTTTGTCAAACCAGAGGGCAGGTACTCAGGGCTGGATAATGGCAAATGTTTCAGGACCGTCCGGGATAACACGGCAGCTCCATTTCACATCCCAGAAAAGGGACTTCAGGCTCTTTCCATTAGGCTGAATGGAGGCGCATCTAAAAGGCAACACATCAGACAGATCAGCACCTCAGCACAGACCCTCCGACAGTGCGGCGGTCCCTCAGCTCTGTCCCTCTGACAGTGCAGCACTCCCTCAGCTCTGTCCCTCTGACAGTGCAGCACTCCCTCAGCACTGACCCTCCGACAGTGCGGCGCTCGCTCAGCACTGACCCTGTGACAGTGCGGCGCTCCCCCAGCACTGACCCTCTGACAGTGCGGAACTCCCTCAGCACTGACCCTCCGACAGTGCGGCGCTCCCCCAGCACTGACCCTCTGACAGTGCGGAACTCCCTCAGGACTGACCCTCCGACAGTGCGGAACTCCCTCAGCACTGACTCTCCGACAGTGCAGTCCTCTGCTGCCATTTGTGTCATTGATGTATAATTAAATGCTCACTTGGTGCATATAATGCCAATCAATTGGGGCTGCTTTGTCCTGGATGGTGTCGAGCTTCCTGAGTGTTATTGGGGCTGCACTCATCCAGGCAAGTGGGGAATATTCCTGACTTGTACCTTGTAGATGGTGGACAGACTCTGGGGAGTCAGGAGGTGAGTTACTTGCCACAGTATTCCCACCTTCTGACCTGCTCTTGTGGCCACTGTATTTATGTGTTGAGTCCAGTTAAGTTTCCGGTCAATGATAACCCCCAGGATGTTGATAGTGGGGGATTCGGTGTTGGAAATTAGTTGAAGGTCATTTGGCAAACAGCTGAAATATAGGTTTCAGAAGGTGATTACGTGCTTTGGTCTGAAACCAAGCAGCAAAGCATTTTTCAACTTTTAAAATGCTTTCTCAGAATCTTAAACTGAATCTTGTTTTGCTGAAGCTTTTCTCACGGTAATCTGCTCCATTATGTCACTTGGCTCTGGCTCAATTGATTGAAGCAATGAACAAGTGAACCACTGAGAGACAAGCAAGAGAAAGTCAATGTTCCTGAATCCTAACATTCCTCATTGGAACACCAGGCCTTTCAGACAAGTCAAATCATCTTGAGCAAAAGCCAAACTACTTGACTGTACAATTGTTATGAATCTCGCTGTCACCCATGTGGATGGGAGATGGAGTGTGATTCTGGATGTTATTTCCCTGAGGCATGAGCAGACTCCTCTGTAACACTGTAGCACGGCCAATGGGCTCAGGACCCTATCCAACATTGAAGATTCACCTTGCTGCAGTCCCATTTGTGTCCCAGCAGTCAGGGGGTTCACGTTTTAAACTTCCCTGTGTTTAGTATTGTTTGGAATCTGCAGACATCACAGTCCCAGTCCTCTCCTCCAACTCTATCCAATCCCGTGGGATTCTCCATCTCCTCACCTCTCTCTCCTCTTCTCCCTCTCCACACTGTCTAGGATTCGGACTCCAAGTTTAGTGTCTCCCAGTTAGAGACGAGCTTGGCTTTCTGTTCTTTCCTCTTCAATCCTGTAAGTTTCCTGCAGTAGAAGGCTTGGGGCTGGAGAGGATCATGGCAATATCACTGGGCCAATAATTCAGAACTCCAGATTAATGTTCTGGGGTCAAAGGTTTGAATCCTACCATGGCAGATGGTGATATTTGAATTCAATAAAAATCTGAAGAAACCAGTCCACTTAGATACCCTTAAAAAAAAAACCCCTGCTATCTTCTTTTATATCATTAGCTCGATTACGCTCAGATTTCATCTTCTCCCCCTTATTGCTTTTTTAGTTGTCCTCTGCTGGTTGTTAAAGTCTTCCCACTAATCTTCACCACATTGTATGTTTTGCTTTGGTTAAATGCTGTCCCTGTCATCCATTGTCAGCCATGGTTGCCTCCTCCTCCCCTTAGTATGATTCTTCTTTCTTGGGATGAATTTCTGCTGTGCATCTCGAATTCCCCCTAGAAACCCCTGCCATTGCTGTTCCACTGTCTTCCCTGCTAGGCTCCCCTTCCAATCAACTCTGGCCAGCTCCTCCCTCATGTCTCTGTAGTTGCCCTAACTCAGCTTGTTACAGATTGTTACACCTGATTCTAGCTTCTCCCTCTCAGACTGCAGGGTGAATTTTATCCTGTTATGGTCACTGCCCTCTGGGGCTTTCTTCACCCTAATCAATCTGCCTCATTACACATCACCAAAACCAGAACTGCCTGTTTCCTCATGGGGTCTATCACAAGCTGCTCTGTAAACCAACCTTGGGACTTACTACCAACCTGATTTTCCCAGTCGACTTGTATATTTGAAGCTTCCCCCATGTTTATTATAATATTGTCTTTCTTACATGCCTTTTCGATCTCCTGATTTATTTTCTGCCCCACATCCTGACCACTGCTAGGAGGCCTGTACACAACTCCCATCAGGGTCTTCATTCCCTTTGCAGTTCCTTAACTCAACCTTCTGACTCTATCTCACTTTTTGCTATGGATTTAATTTCATTTCTTACTAACAAGACAACCCCATCCCTTCTGCCAATCTGCCCATGCTTTCACTAGAACGTGTATCCTTGGATATTAGTTCCCAGCCCTGATCCCCTTGCAGCCACGTCTCTGTGATACCCACAACATCACACCCACCAATTTCAATCTGCACTACAAGCTCATTTCCCTTGTTTCATACACTGTGTGTATTTAAGTACAACATCCTCAGTCATGCATTGACTGCCCCCTCTGTATAGTTGTTCCCTACCTGCTGTGCCTGAAGTTAGATTCCTGACCCTTTCCATACTCTCTGTCTTATTACTCGTTCTGGAAACTTCAATAATTCTGCATGAGCCCTCCCCTGTTTAATTTTTTCCATAATTTTCCATACAACTGAACCTACTCCCCCACTATTTAGTCTAAAGCCCTATCCACAGCCCTGGTTATGCAAGATTTCTAAAAGGGAAGACAGAGGCAAGAGTGGACATTGGACAGCTGGAAAGTGAGGCTGGAGAAGTAGAAATGGGGAACAAAGAAATGGCGGAGGAACTGAACAGGTACTTTGCATCAGATTTCATGGTGGAAGACATCAGGAGCACACCAGAACTTCAAGACAGTCAGGGGGCAGAGGTAAGTGTAGTGACCATCACTAAGGAGAAGGTGCTGGGGAAGCTGGAAAGTCTGAAGGTGGGTAAATCTCCCAGACCAGATGGACTATGCCCCAGAGTTCTGAAGGAGATAGCTGAGGAGATTATAGAGGCATTGGTGGTAATCTTTCAGGAATCACTGGAGTCAGGGAGAGTTCTAGAGGACTGGAAAATGACTAATATAACACCCGTGTTTAAGAAGGGAGGGAGACAGAAGACAGGACATTAAAGACAGGTTAGCCTGACCTTAGTTGTTGGTTAAGGTTTTTCAGTCCATTATTAAGGGTGAGATTGCAGAGCACTTGGAAGTGCACGGTAAAATAGGGCTGGGTCAGCATGGTTTCGTCAACGGGAGGTCATGCCTGACAAATCTGTTAGAATTCTTTGCGGAGGCACTGAGCAAGTTAGACAAAGGAGAGCCTGGGGATGTGATCTATTTGGATTTCCAGAAGGCCTTTGACAAGGAGGCCCACAGGAGACTGCTAAATAAGATAAGAGCCCATGGTGTTAGGGGCAAGGTACTGGCATGGATAGAGAAATGGCTGACTGGCAGAAGACAGAGACTTGGGAAAAAGGGGCCTTTTTCAGGATGGCAGCCAGTGACTAGTGGAGTTCCACAAGGGTCAGTGTTGGGACCACAACTATTCACCTTATACATTAACAATGTGGATATTGCTAAGTCCAGAAGACACAGAGATAGGTAGAGGGACAGGTAGGAAGTGGGGAGGCTGCAGAAGGAACAAAAGCAGAGTTGCTGGAAAAGCTCAGCAGGTCTGGCAGCATCGAGGGAAAAAACAGAGTTAACGTTTCGGGTACCTGTCCCTCTGCCTATCTCTGTATCATCTGGACTTAGCAACATCCACATCGTTAACGTATAAGGTGAATAGTTGTTGTCCCAACACTGACCCCTGTGGAACTCCACTCGTCACCGGCTGCCATCCTGATAAAGATCCCTTTATCCCCACTCTCTGCCTTCTGCCAGTCAGCCATTCCTCTACCCATGCCAGTACCTTGCTTCTAACACCTATCATTAGTTTTGAGGAAGGGTCACCGGACCCGAAACGTTAACTCTTTTTTCCTTGGATCGAATAGCCTAATTCTGCTCCTATATCTTGTGGTCTAATGGTCTTCATTGTTATTTCCCATGTATTATCAATTGTCATAAAATCCCATCTGGCTCACTAATGTCCTTTAGGGAAGGAAACTGCCATCCTTACCTGGTCTGGCCTATATGTAACTCCAGACCCACAGCAATGGGGTTGACTCTGACCAAGCCAGCAATACTCATCCCATGAACAATTGTAAACACATATACACTGTCCTTTGCTCAGGTCAGAGTGTTCAGGAAAGGGGCCTTTGAGGAGGCTCTCTGATTAAAACCAGATTCTGACAAGAAGCAACAACACCAGTAGCTCTGTCCCCAGGAGCCATGCCAGTCAGTAGGCACTTACCCATTGCCACGATCGGTGTGATGACAGGCACTGCCAGGGGCAGGACAAACAGGTAGATATAACGTGGGAAGAAAGGGACCTTCCAGGTGCTGGAGTCGCCGAGGCCAATGACATTGGTGTAGGCATGGTGCAGCTTTACATGCTGATGGGTGCCCACCTCTGCAGTGAACGATCCACAGACCTGGGAAAGAGGGACACTCATAAGCATTCCTAAATTCAGGAAAGCCTGACCACCTGTGGAATCATTAACTATTTGAGTGTGTCAGTTCCACTGAGCAGAGGCGTTGAAGTGTGCGTGTGTGTGTGTGTGGGAGTGTGTGTCTGTGCTTGTGCATGTGTGTATGCGCATGCGCATGTGTCTGTGTGTGCACGTGTGTCTGTGTCTGTGTCTGTGCGTGCAGCTGTGTGTATGTGTGCGTATGTGTCTGTGTGTGCGTGCGCGCATGTGTCTGTGTGTGCATGTGTGTCTGTGTCTGTGCATGTGTCTGTGCGTGCAGGTGTGTGTGTGTATGTGTCTGTATGTGTCTGTGTGTGTGCGCTCGCATCCGCGTGTGTCTGTGTGTGTGTGCATGTGTATGTGTGTGTGATTGTGACTGTGTCTGTGTGTACGTGTGTGTCTGCACGTGTGTGTGTCTATGTGTTTGTGCACGTGTGTGTCTGTGTTTGTGTGTGTGTCTGTTTGTGCATGTGTGTCTGCATGTGTATATGTGTGTGTGCACGTGATTGTGTCCATGTGTATGTGTGTGCGTGTGTGTCTGTGTATTCGTGAATCTATGTCTGTGTTTGTCTGTGTGTGTGCGTGTATTTGCACGTGCATGTATGAGTGTGCGTGCTCGTGTGTGTGTGCGTATATATGTGTATCTACAGTTGCTGATTCATCAGAAAGATATTCTCAAACTAAACCCAAGGGTGTCAAACAAGGGTCAGAATGAAATATTGGTGACTGGACCAGAAGGTCAGAGGCACCAAGCCCTGACACAGACTAGGGGGTTGCTAGGTGTAATATTGATAATAGGGTGTAGAGTCAAAGGAACAATCACGAAGGGTACGGAAGGACAGGGAGCACAGATGGGTCAAGGTGCAAATTTTGTACCTAAATATCGTGAAGTAGAGAACGACAAAAGTGTCCATGGAGAGACTGAACCCAGCAAGTCATTTCCCCGTTCCCCGGTCACCTCCTGACTTTAGCACCTCTTCTGGCGGGGGGGGG